CAGTTGCTTTTTTGTTGTTGTTGTTGTTGCTGCCTGTTGCTGTTTCTCCATTCATTTGCAATTCAGTCGGAGAGCCGCCGCATAAGTTGATTGCGGCTGCGGCTGTGGTTGCCTGCCGCCTGCTTCTACTACTGCTGCTGCTTTTGGCCAGATGTGACGACTGTTGGGGCTTACTCATCGCATTGGTTCGTTGGCCACGATCTTAGCCCACTTTGCTGTGGCAGTGGCAGTAACAAAATCCAAAAAACAAGAAAGAAATGCCAGCTCTAGCACCCAAAGCTACTCTAGAGAGACTCTTAAATGATTTGAAACAAATCTCTAAGGACTGTCATCGTGTCGTGTAGGGTACACAAAAGTAGCATAACATTCATGCCAAGTTGTGTTGTGAGTTTTCTTGGGTAATGCGAGAGCATTTCGACATGATCGTATTTCACAGAATAATTTATTATTTTTGTTTGGCTATTGCCGTGTGGCTTTTGGCTTGGTCTTTCTTAAATGCGGCTAAGCACTTTGGCTTCACCGTCGTGCAGAGACAGAGAGAGACCGAACACACCGTCCATCGTCTACTCCTACCCTACCACTACCTCTTCTCCCTCCTCCCACCACCCTCCTCCTTCTCTTTGATTCTGTCTGCTGATCTTGGTGTTGGTTATACCCACCCGTATATAAGTATTCTGCGTGTGTGCATTCACATATCGACTTTGGCTCCACTCCAAGAGCTAACGACCGCTTATAGCCTTTCATATTCTGCCTCTCTCCCTCCCCTCTACGTCTCTTGCCCACAGAAATGTTGCAAAAAAATATTAATGACAAGAAAAAGGCAAGCAAACACAGAAATCGATTTCATTTTTTTGTTCAAGAAAGCCACAAAGTTAGAGAAAAGAAGCCCGTTAGGCGTTCTCTGAAACTGAACTGAGGAAGTATCTTTTACTTTGAGTATCCGGTAGATACAATGGCGACTGGAGGCAGCAACAACTTGCATTTAGCTCAAGGGATACGCTAGTATTTTGGTACAGTCTCACATGAAAGGATCAGCAAGCCGTTTGGTACAGACTGTACCCCTTTGCAGGAACTAACCTTTCTTCAACTTCTTTGTTGAATGCTTTTAATGCATTTTGTTTGTTTAAGCGTGAACAGAATTTCGAAAAATCTTTCTCCTTAACGATCGCTTTCTTTGTGGTTGACATCGATTTGTAAATGAGCGGAAACCTAACCTTACACAATCATTCACTCCCCGGAATAAATTTGTGACTCACCTGCGAATGCAGTTTCCAATCTTTGTAAGCCTTTACAATGTAATCCATTTCCGTGTGTCTTTAAGTTGGTTTGTTGATCTCTCCTTATGCTTTATACAACTGAAGAAGAACATAAAAAATACTTAGTATTTCGGGGTACACCTCACTCACGCTTTATATATGAATTATATGCATGTACATATGTTTCGTTTTTTTGTTGTTCGCTTCTTTATCAATTCTATTGTTCATTTAAATATTTTTCTTCCACAATTATGAAATTATTTCTTGTTTCTTTTATTATTTTTGTTTTTTTGTGTGTGTGTTTGCTGCAATCAAATTTCCGTTGTGCAATTTAAGAGCAATTATTTTATCTGCCTTTACTTTAGTACCCGCAACTACTTTGTTTTTGTTTTATTTTCCTGCTTTAGTCAAGGCTGTTTTGGTCTTTCGTTTTGTGTCTTTTTACACTTGTGCAAATCTCCAGAGTAGCTGCTTTTGATACACCTCCAGACTCGTGGGCGGTTTTGTGTGTGGGTGTGTTTGAGTGTGTGTGGGGGGGGGTGTGTATTTGTTTTCCGTCTGCGACAAAACGACAGCCATACGGACGGGCATTTGTGTACCGCGTTTCGTGATCTTTTACCAGTTCTGACGCTGACTCTGTACTTTTGTTTTATCTACGAAAAAATTCATTTATTTTTACAGATTTTTCTTGCCATGATTATTATTTGTACGAGTATCTGTTTGGCCTGTAGCTGATTGGGGAGACAACGCCACCTTTTTGTTTGTCACAGTCACAATGCAAATGAATACAGAAACGTAAGTAAGTATATAAATATACAATTAAAGCATTATATTGTTGGCCGGGAACGGAATGGAACCGAACCATACCGAACCGATAATGCCGGGCCACGCTTGGCAACAGAACAGTTAACAGTTAACCGTAACTCAAACTCGAGCGGGTTTTTTAGGCCCCGTTTTCTAATGTTTAGTTGCGTTTATTTCACTTAAATTTTTTTTTATTATTTATTTATTTATTTTTATTTTGTTTTCGTTTTTACAGACACTCACACTTGGAACTTGGAAAACGACGGCGGCAGCGACAACGCGAGCGGTTTGCTTGGAGCAGCTCAGTTTTTCGCAGCGCACACGATTAGCCTAAACAGACACACTAACTAGAAAACACAGCCTTGTGGGGTGGGAAGGCACTGCTGCTGCTGCTGCTGCTGCTAGGGGCCAAACTTAATGCCAACCAACTTCAAACAGCTCTCGAAAACAACTGATTGGAGGCAAGCGGCAACCCGGTGGAGACCGAGCGACCGACCGACACCCGAGCACCGTTGACCGTTGGAGCAGTTCACTCGCGATCATCAAAGCTTGCTGTTGTTCGCGCTCTCTCTCTCGCAGTGGCTCTCTCTTCCAGCTAGCTTTGGTTCCAGCATTAAGTTTAAGTTTCATTTAAGAAGTGAGCAAGAGGCTTATTGTAGGGGAGTAAAGTGGCATTAAGCACTGTGTAGAACAGGTACAGCAGTACCAGTAATTATTTAAGTAATTATTTATTAAAGTAATGGGTAATAATATGTGAACACACTCTCAAGTGGAGTGGAAAGTAGAGTAGATATCGAGATAATTTAGTTCTTGCTGTTTGGTTGCAAAGCAACTGCAATCTTGTTTAGCCAGTACTTAGCAGTTGCTCTCTCTCTCTCTCTCTATCGCTGCAGCTCTTTTCTCTCTCGCTGCACTAGTATGTATGTATGTATGTCTTGGGTGGACTGCTTGCTTGCTTAGTTAAGCCCAAGTTGCAGCTAGAGATTAAAGAATGAAATAAAAAGCATACAGCAGATGCAAGTACATATGATGGAGGGTATAGCCAGATGGTATATGATATTAATGCAAGTGTATGGTATGGCTGCCTGCTCATCTGGGCATGGCACTCATATGCCGCCTGATTGTGTCTAATTCAAGTGATAATAGTGATAGCAAACACACTGGAACTAAACAGGAAGAGAGAGCGGAAGAGCGGGAGAACGGGGGAGAGAGACATCCACAAACATGTGCTAATCACTTAAGCAGCTCCAACCGCTCTCTTTCTGGCCTCTCCCTGATTATTAAATGATAACTGAGGGGGGGACTGTTGAAAGTTGTTGAAGTTTTTCATACCATTTGTTGGGGACAATGGCGCATATATTCGTCATAGAATAAAAGCCACAATTAGCATTCAAGATAAACGTACAATTTAAAAAGGAATTCCTTTTTTGAATGGAATGGGAAATTTTCCAGCTTCAATACGAACGTCATCGTTTCCATACATACATATATATATATACATATGTATGTACTTATGTATGCAGATTACGGCAAAAAAATGTATTTTTAGCAGGCCGCATGATAATGCTGTCAAAACAAAAAGTTTCATTATGATTCTGCTGTTTGGTCATAGATAAGTCACCATCGCTTGTTCTACCAGGTAATCCACGTTAGATATATTGTTATCGATGGAACCTTATCTTTCTACTGAACTAAAACAACAAACTAAGGGGGGGCGGTGTACCGCAAAACGGGCCATGAATGCGTCAGCTGTCAAAACAATCTGCAGGGCGAATGATATTTGGGACAGTCTTTGTATGTAACATACATACATATATGTTTTTTTTTTATATGATGATGATTCCCAGATTCGTATACTCTTGGCAACTGTTAATATATGGACTTGCCAAATTTCTCACTTGATATCTTTGAAGAGTTGACAACAGAGTTGACTTGTAAATTTCCAAGGCTTCAGTTATCACTTCCATTCTTTCCATTTCTTTCTCTCTCCAAAAAGGTGCTAAATAATATTAGATGGATTTGTTTTTCGGCTGATTTCATTCTTTAACTAGAATCGAAAACAATACCATTCACTGTGCCACACTAGTTCTACGGTTTTGCTGTTGCCGCAGACTGATAGCACCACACATGTGGATCGGAGATTACCTCCGGCTGTGTCATCGAACTGACTTTTAACAAATTTTGCAGACAGAAATGAATCAATTTATGGCGAATAAAAGTGAAACGTCGCAGCCCAACAGCAACAACAACAACAGAAATGACGTTGATAAATCCCCTGCTCCTGTATTTACTTTATGCATCAAAAATGTGCTAATCGCACAAACACGTACAAATCGTTGACCAAAATTATTTGTTTACTTCGCGCCTTGACCGGCCACAAAAGCGCTTTTGGTGTCTTTCCAACATTATGCCAACATTTTTTTTTTTGGCTAATAGCTTGGGCAAAGAGCAGAGCAAAGGGGCCCAGCTGACAGGTTGTTTATGTGGGTCCGCCACACACATTATAGCTTCATTATGAGAACGCAACTAATCCGATCTGCATATAGTTATAATGAAAGACCGAAAGTGGTGTGATTGAAATTTGCGTATTAGCTGATCATCTGATATCCCTTTTTGGAAATACCCTTTCGTAGGCCCAATATCAATTAGGAACATTTTGGTCACGAGCCATAAATTTGAAGTTAATCGTTCACTAAGTCAAGGCTGTGTGCTTCGCAACCTTAGTTCTAATCAATTTAATTACCACAAAATGAATCAATTAGCAGTTACACATGCTCTAAAATAAAATAATCAGTTTGGGTTCATTTCAAAAATAAATTGCTACGCGCGTAATCAGGTTTCACATCAGTCAGCATGTGTCACACGTCTTTGTGGTATATTTCGGTATATTTCTGAGAGTCAGAAACAAATACGGATTTTGGCAAGGTTGTGCCGTTTGGCGTTTTAAAAAAAACCAAAAACAGCCAACAGCGTGAAAAAATTGTAATTGCGTTTTTAAGCAAATTTCCTGCAAAAAACAACGCATTATGTCCTATCAGCTGTACCGCAACACCACTCTGGGCAACACGTTGCAGGAGAGTCTCGACGAGCTCATCCAGGTGAGTCGCAGGGCGCCCGAAACAAGATGGCCCCAGAAACTGCATTTTTGCGCATAGCAAATGGAAACACTTGACAATAACTGTTGTTGCTTGCATTGCAGTACGGCCAGATCACGCCAGGACTGGCTTTCAAGGTGCTCCTCCAGTTCGACAAGAGCATCAACAACGCCCTCAACCAGCGCGTAAAGGCACGCGTTACCTTTAAGGCGGGCAAGCTGAACACCTATCGTTTCTGTGACAATGTCTGGACGCTCATGCTGAACGATGTGGAGTTCCGCGAGGTGCACGAATTCGTCAAGGTTGACAAGGTGAAGATTGTGGCCTGCGATGGCAAGAGCGAGTTTTAGCGCTGTCATTGGCCAGCAAATAGTTCTAATTCTAAGATTTATAATTGTTAAGTACCCTTTATATCACATCCATCATTGATAAAGAGTAGACGACCATCCAGAACTTTTCAAGACGCAAAGAACTGGTCGAAGTCTTTGGTCGTCGAATTCCAAAATACATATTGTAAAACTGTTGAGAAGTTTCGTGTCATCAGTGCATGTACGGGCCATCGCACATGTGTCTATTTTCGTTTGGGGAGCGCTCAGGGAACCGCGAATTATTTGGGTCAGCCACCTGCTGTTGCTGCCCCGAGACTCAACAAGGCTCTGCATGATCACAGCAGGTCCTGGACGGGCTCATCCTGCTGGACAGCATAGCTCGTCCACGGTCAAGGATGGCCATAATGGAGTGCTCGCTGCATTGGATGTGATGAAGAACTACAAGCAATACGTTAAAAAATAATTTTAACAATAATTCAAGAAAATAGGATATGCAAAGTGCCATACCACACAAATAAATCGTTGATATGTAGAAAATGTGTAGTTACCGTGTAGTTACCATGTAAAAACAGCTACATTCTTTGTTAAACCTTATTTAAAATCCCATAAAATTAATTCCTTAATATTAGCGTGGCAAATGGTCGAGTTCTTTTTTTCGCTATATTTACGGAATATATTGAAAATTAGAAGGTAGGGTCAGATTTTGGTACGAACAAGGGGTAACAACCGAACGAGGTGGCGCTTGTCGCCAGCAACATGTTTTCCAGCAACATGAGCCGCACAAATGGACATATTGTAGCCAGAAATAGTATCGGGCTCAAATAATTATTAATTATTAATTTTTTTGTAGTTGATATTTACTGGTTACTAACCTTATTAAATAGAGCGGGGCTAAGCTATTTTTTTTCTCGGTTTCTTAGGTTCCAGTCCCACTCGACAAAAAAAATCAAGTGAAATATTTATTTTTCCATATATGCACATTTGAAAATGACCGCCAATCTCATTTAGCGCACAAAAATATCGATATTATTCGCTCCCAAATCGTGGTGGTTTTTCGAAATTCGCTCTCAATTCGTGGTGGATTTTTAAAATTAGCTCTCTTTTCAGTGGTGAAGAGAGCGTTTTTGTGGTGACTTTCCCCTCATTTTCGTGGTGTGAGAAACATGTTCTTCTTCCATACGCGTTCATTGAGGAATTGGATAAAATTATTTTTTTAGGGCTGAGGGGGCCATCTATCTATTAATATTAAACTGAATATCAAAATTGACGAATTTCATATCACAAAATATCACGGTATGGCAGCCCGCAGCAACTACGAATTGCAGGAGTCTGGTAGCGCCACAAAACGACGACACATTCATTTTATGTTGTTTTTGTTTGAACCTTAATATGTAAATAATCCAATAAAAAGGACTTCTAAAAACTAGCCAATCCTAAACAAAGTTCATTGAGGAATTGGATAAAATTATTTGTTTAGGGCTGAGAGTCCCAGCTAGCTAGTAATATTAAACGGAATATCAAAATCGAGAAATATCAACGTTGAATGTTTTGAAAAAACAATCGATACTATCGTGATAGCTCTAATAATTATTAAAAAACCATTGAAACCTTTTAGGAACTTGTCCATTGTAAAAATTAGATGCCACCTGTCGATGATGACATATTAAAAGCGCAACGACTGTAGCTCGATACTATCATGATAGTTTTAAAACCATAGATAGTAGAGGCTAGCAGAAAAATATCGATACTATCGATAGTGCCCTCGATGGTTTGACACCTCTAGCCGCGACAATGAAACAACATCACATCTCACAAATTTTTCTGCCGCGACAATGAAACAACAAGAAAGTGCCGAAGAAAGTCCTGAATTCTGAAATCCGTTGATATATTAAAAAATATATATATCATCAATATTCGATATATGAATATATATTAAACCTCGCTAGTCAAACAATTCAATCAAGTAAACCGCACAGCCATCGTCGTCCGTTCGTGTCGTCACGCCTGCATATTATTGTTAACAACAAAACGAAAAACGTCGTAGAATAGCGTTCTGCGAATGTTTATGCCATTTGTTGAAACAATCGAAATCAAATTCCGCGAGCGCGCGAGATGCGGAAAAGCCAAACGGCGGCGACCATTGTTTATGTGTGCAGCAGCGAAATAATCGCCAAAAATTAATGAGAAATAGTGCCCCCAGCAGCAAGTGCATTAATAGTTTGCCGCACAAATCATATTCCAGTAGAGGTAAAATTCAAAAATTCAGAGTGGGAAACATCTAAAGTGCATTGCGAATTGCGTGTTAATTTTGTTGTGCATAATTATAGCGAAAGCGGATCAATAAAATAAAGTGGAGAAGCAAAAAAGGCTTGCAGAAAGAAGAGTGAAGAGTAAACTCTGCGTTGGCGGTGGGTAGAGCGGGAGAGCAGCATAAGAAAACAAAGCTTGACGTCGACGTCGCTGTCGGCGTCACGTCTCTGTTCTTTGGTGTGGCTGGGTAGCGGCAGCGGCAGCAGATGAAATTTTTGCAATTTAAATAGAAAATTTCAATAAAATTATGTACGTAGAGCGAATCTCTGCTGTTGCTATATATTCTGCGCCCTCTGTCTTGTTTTTGTTGTTTAGCGGCAGTCCAATTGGACCTCCTGCAGCGTCGACGCCAACGCCAGCGCAGACGTTGACTGCACCTTTTTAATGTTAATTGGTTTTACTTCTAGAAAGTAAAATATCGCATATATATATATAAATAAATAGAAAGATTAAATTAATTAAACATAAAATCTATACATGTATAATCCCTAAAGGTTTAACAAAAAGATCGTCAAAATTAATTTCCGTCGCATTAAAATCTTTACCTCAAAACTGGATTATAACCGATCCGTTGACATTGGCGTGCAGCAGGAAAACAATTCGGGGGTAACCAACAAAATGGTGAAACGGTAAGTCTCAAACACCCTCCTTATCCTCTTATCAGTCATATGGATCGATTCGATCCATCCCCCATACATATATGCCCGATCAAGGTGGGTTCGTTCACCCATTTGGACAGGCAATTAGCGTGCCCAGACTGTTTATGGCCTCTCCCTCAATGTGTATGAGGGATATGGATTTGTGTTGCACTTTGTTTAGAGTGTGGTGACGGGTGTGAACCTCTCGACCGATAAACATTTACCAAAATCATATCGTACAAATTATAACGCAATTTTTGATTGCTTTCTTTTTTTTTTGTTTTATTCCTTCTCTTTGGGGCTCTCTTAATCGTTGATTCTACGTTTCTCAACATTTCTGCGGCGCAATGCAAGATTGCTTCTATTTATATGCGCATTTCGTCACTGCCGCCACACTCTTGTCCCCTTCCTTCTCCATCTCTTCAGACTTTGGGAGAGCTCCAAAGTGGGCAAACAACAAGCAACCCCTGGGTTGGAAAAACACCCCTCTGGGTGCAGCAGCAGCAGCCCACCACCGCCGCCGCCGCCGTCGCACCACCAACAACTTTCAGACAGCATACATTTTCGTGTGCGTTTTCCCCCCGCCCCCCCACACAAAATAGCAATTCAGAAGAATACAAATCCAGATCCAGGGAGAAGTATGCTTCCCTTTGGAAACCGAAACCCCGTTTAACAACAGATGGTTTCTAGTGGGTTTCCTTTTTGGCTAAAGTCAGAGAAATATAACTATAAATGACGAACTTTGTGAGTGTGAGCGAAACATGCCTCTGATGCCACTCTTTATCTACTGTTTTTTGTTGTACTGATGTCACGAACTTGGCGACTTAATGGGCATACCCTTGCAATCTAAGGGATATGGCCATATAACAACATCATTGCAGGAATGACAGCAAAAACAGAAAAGCGGCATTCAGATCAACGCATGCGCATATTGACGTCACGACCACAGAAACGGCAACAAAGATACGGATAGCATCAGCAACAACAGCAACAAAAACTGTAAGCAGGGTCCGGTTCGTTCGGCTCGCGGAGTTGCCTGCAATTTTATTTTCTACACGATTTTATGCATTTCCATTCTGCGTGCCTCCAAAATAAGCCCTGCGCTCTGTCTGTGCTGCTGTTGCTGTTGCTGTCGCTGCCTCTGCCTACATAAATAACTGCATACGTTGCACTCGGCCTCACTCTGTCTCCTGTCTCGCTCTTGCGCTTGTTTTAATTTTAGACTTTGCCTCTAACAATTTTTTCCATTACTTTGTCGCGTTGTTTTTCGTGTTCTTGTTGCCCTCTGCTTCTCCTCCTCCTTCTCATGCTGCGCTGCTGCTGCCGCTGCTGCGGCTGCTCTGCGTCGGCCTCCAGCCATGATTCTCAAGCAGGTTCTTCTTGGTGCATTTTTTTTACAGTTCTGTTGGTTTCCTTGTCGCGCCCCCACTCGGCAGCCCTGTGTGTGTTGTGTTTGCGGTCAGCATCAATACAACAAAATCTTTGCTTGGAGTTTTATCTGCCTTTTACAATGTTTCGCTGCTTTTTACCTGCTTTGTTTTGACCACGAGGCCAGTCAGCGTAGTCCTATCCAAGGTATATTTGTAGAAGGTGAGGCATTGCCCTCATGATATTTTGTTTGGCTTGCGGGAGAGAGAGAGAGGGAAATAAGGAAGCCTCACCTTCCCTAGGTCCATTGCCTCGCACACACACACAAACACTTCCTGCTGCCTGCCTACCTGATGCGCGACCTGTTCCTCTTCATTGCAGTTGTTGTTATTGCTGTGTTTTTGTGGTTCTGGCGATCGTCTCCCATGGATTTATGTATTAAATCCCCTTAGCCTTCATGCATATGCCTTCTGTCTTTTGTCCTCTGATTGTAGCTGCTGCGCCTCGTCTCGTCTCGTTTCGCCTCTTTCTCTGTCTCTGGCTGTGTTTTGTGTTTATTAAATTCTTCGATGTGTATATGCATTTCAGTTGTTGCCTTCCGACTGAAAATTTATTTGTCTGCATGCATAGGATAGGCGGCGAGGGGAGTAGTTGTGTGGTGTGGTGTGGAATGAAGGAGAAGGCTTGCAGAGGCAGCCAGTCTTCTCCACTCTGTTTATTTGTCTGTCCCTATCCCTCTTTCTACCCCATTATGTGTGTGTGTGGTGTGTGTGTGTGTGTGGTGTGTGTGTGTGTGATTGCATTCTTTTTATTCATTTTTGGCGATTAAAATTAAATTTTAATTCCGCTCTTCTGACGGCTGCTTCTGCTGCTGATTCT